AAAAATAATAAATGCACATTTTTTTTTTTTTAACCTGCAAAAAAAGTGCTTTTATTATTATTCTCCAAATTGTGAACTTATCCTTTAAAGATATAAAGCTAATTATTAACCGTTTGACCTCCGGAACATTTTTACCCCCTTAATCACCAGGCCATCTTTTGCTCGGCACTGTGCTATTTTAACTGGCGTTTGCACGGTCATGCAACCCCGAACACACACTAAATTGATGTCATCGTTCCCACACAAAGAGAGATTTCTTTTGCTGGTATTTGATCACCGCTGGGTTTTTTTTATTATAGAAATGAAAAAAAAAGACCACAAATGCTGGAAAAAAAAAAATTTTTTTTTTTACTTTCTGCTATAAAACATCCAATAAAATTAAAAAAAAAATCATGTCTTCATAAATTTAGGTTAAAATGTATTCTACTACATATTTTCGGTAAAAAAAAAAATCCCAATAAGCGTATGTTAAATTTTTTTGTGTGAAACTTACAGCATCTACAAACTATGGGATATAAACCGGGATTTTTTTTTTTCCACTTTCCCTGGGAGCGCGCAGCACCGCGATCCGGTGCCCGCTGTGTCCTCCCGATCATGTGATCACTGATTGGCCAATCAGTGATCACATGCAGAGTAGTAAGCAAGATGTCACTTCTGACATCATTGCTTACTACGTGTGAAATCTGTGAATGATCACAGAGGTCACATGGTACAGGGCTATTCACAACAGCCTTGTACCATGTGACAAGCTGTGACCAATCACAGCTCACACAGTATTTCTCAATGGCTGCAGGAATGCAGCCAGAGAGAAGGAGAAATTATTGTTTTTACTGTCTTTATGGGTGTAAAAGCAATCAGTGTAAAAAAAAAAATCTTCATCACCCCCCACAAGTAGTACAGTGTCACTATGGTGACACTGTACTTATAGGGTGTAAAAAAAAAAAATAAAATATATATAAAAAAAAATTAAATTTTTTTTTAAAAATTATAATTTTTGGTTATAAAC